GGGCTTCTTTCGCTTGCATTCCCTTAGCTGCTGTTGTATGTTTTCAGTCCCCCATTTCTCTAAAAGAACTAGCGTCTCTTCTTTCTCCCATGTCCTCCCTCTCTTCTTTTCGCTTGCAGTCGCCATCTTGGTTAGACAAGGTAAAACTACCTCAGTGAGGTAGTTTTGTTAAACGCGTTTTAAACATGTTTAGCGCGCGCTTTTTGGCAATTTGAACGCTCGGTATTTAAACGTGTTTTATTAAACAACTTTTAAACATGTTTAGTTGGTTGGTGTGAACGAGCCACTAGTGTTTTTTAATTAAGTAGTCCATTTTCTCTGAGATATATTCTCATGGGTTCCGTTATATCATGGCTGATCTGCTTACCTAGCACACTTTGAAATTGGTCGTTTGACAGAGTGGCGTTCATTGGCCAAGGAGATGGCATACATTTGACAAAAACTTTACTGTTGTTACGTGCGTGTGGGATTCTAAACTCGACCGTACGACCAAAGCCATCAGCTTCTAGGGACATTGTGGCTCTACTGTACTCAGGCTCAGCAATTGTACGCAAGCTTCTCTTGCTGTGCTTGAAGGAGCGGAAGGTGGTGACTGGACCTGGTACAAGGAGGATGTTTTCCTTTATGAAGTCTTGTGTAGGCTGCRAAACTGTTTTTTCACATGCCTGGTTGGTCAGGTCTTTCAGGAACTATAAAGAAAAAATTGAAATTAGGGAAGAAATAAACATATTATTTCAATGACAACAATCCAATTAAGTGTTTTTATACAGATGAGAAAATGGAAAGCAATTTTGTATTAGAAGTAATTTCCAGTTTATTGTGGAAGAAAACAAGCTAAGTTTTCTATCAAGACATAAAAACTAGTACGCATGTGTTGGATGTTCCCTCAGGAGCTAGAACTCAGTTAATAACCTCTTTTTTAAAATAAAATAAGGAAATGTTTTTATAAATTGACATTTACCTGGCACAAGATTTCTTTCTGGCTTTCTAGGTGGTTGACAAGCGCTGTTGCATTTTCAAGTGTGGTATGGGCAATTGTTGTTGGTGGGTCRGTAGCAGTCTCGCCTGTTAACAGTTCCTCCATGMAGTGGTTAAATACATGTAGTGCTGCGGCTACCCTTGGGATTAGTTCAGTTTTCTTGGATTTTGGTGGCACTGTTCCTTCTCGAATGGCTTCATTTACTTCAGCAACAAATGAGTCCATAGTTTCCGTTGGCATCAAAGGTAAACTTAGTGTTTTCGTCCATATTGTGAATTCTTTCAAACACCATGTCAAAATCTTGAACTACTTCCAATTCCAAACATTGTTTTGCCTCCGCAATTTGGGTAAGTGTAGGTCTTAAGGCCATGGGTGATGACACCAGGATACGATCGACAAGTCCATGTCCTTGATCCATCTTGGCGATAAGTTTTGCYGCATTGATGAGTTGTGTAGATCAAAGAACGCTGACCGGTACGTTCTTGTCGATGACTCTGTTGTCAGTCGTTGAATAATGGTAAGACGATTTCTCGCCAGAGAAAAGTTAACATAGTAGCTGGACGTCTCCTGTGGCATTATCTTYGTCGGACTTTAGTAGCTTMGTAAAGATATCGCTAATCTCTGGTGACGATATGAACGCCCTGTTGTTGGTAGACAGTAGCTTTACCAGACCCAATGATGTAGATTTGCTAACAATTGATGAAGTGTAGTTTAGGTTTTCAAGTGGTTCTTGGGCTCCATACTGTATTGCAGAAGATTTACCTATATGACAAAGAAACAGTTTGAGTCAGTTTCACAGAAAGTGATGCGCATAAAATGAAAGGTTTTGGTTTAGTATTTTTGCAAGTTATTTACCTATTCCTGGGTGTCCAAGAAAGATAGTGTAGAGGTTGAGCGGCTGGTTGTGGGATGCTGTTTCAACTACTGCCTTTCTGTTGGCCATCACGAATRCACTTGCAGTTAAGAGTGAAGGAATGAAGTAGCCGTCACAGCTTCCAACTGATGTGGCCTTGTTTTGGATAAATTGGTAGACCGCCTCTGRGAAAAGGTTGTCGTACTTGAACTGGACATCATTCAAACGCTTTTGGAGGTTGATCCATGTCTGTTCGTTTTGTTTGTTGAGTTTACTAACAGAGTACRTTTTGATCGCAGTTAACCGGCCGGAGCAGTTGACAAGACGGTGAACGAGAGTGTAGTGTTATAGCAGGCTAGGTCGGTTTATAGGTGCACGTCAAAAAGGCAAAAAGGGGTTTAATGATGCATTGAATAATAAGTCTATCAACCAATAAACAAAGAAAGCAGCCTTAAACTGAAGTGTAATAGGTGCGAACAATACTTGTGTTAGYATAATAAACCAATTATAAACAACARCATGCGGCTTATCAAACAGGGATGTGACTTGTTAAGTGGGACAATAGAAATTGTTAAGTAAAGCTGGCTTTAGTGATGAGGGCCAAGCATTGTTCAAAATAGSTTACGTTCAAAACCGTTATTTTTAATACTGGGTTATTTGAGAACGAGATAGTTTATAGCATTGTTCAGAAGCGTTAAGTTATTACTAGGTTCGTTAAAGAACGAGATAATATTATAAGTGCCGCTAAAGTGAGAGAGGTGATTATTGTGCACAAAGAGTGCTTAAGATAGTTCTTACACCGTAAATATGTGAAAGGAGTTAACTTATATGGACGTTAATCTTATTGCTTTTACTTTGAGTAAGGAGTAACGTCCGAAACGTAAAGAATTATCTCTTTGGGTTAAAAATGATGTTTTTATCACAACTGTTTCTTACGAAAAACCGACGCTGCTAGTTTCTATCAATTGAACRTTAAGCAAAACAAAGAAAGCAGTCGCAAACTGAAGTATAATTGATGGGAACAATAATGGTGTTAGTGATTAGCCCTTAGTATAATGAACCAATTATAAACAACAGCATGCGACTTATCAAACAGGGATGATGTGACTTGTTAAATAAGACAATAGTAAAACAGGCTCTAGTGATGACGACTTTCATAGACGGTGTAGTTCTTGTGAAATCGAGAGTGTGGAAGAGTTATAACCTGATGTAAAATGAACGACAAGTGTTGTCAAGCGTCTTTGGGGCGAGTTTTGAAGTGCAACAAGGGATGTCAAACAACAGTACAAACTAAGGAAGGGTCAACTCAATGCGATAAGCAAAAATCAAGTTATTGTCGCAGTATTAGCAAGAATGGAGGCAATTGGRAACATGTAGACGTTCTTGAACTAACTAAAAGCACGGAATCACTGTCAAAATGGTTGAGAGGTGAAAGTCTTTTACGCAAGACGTGTCTGTGCCCTCGATGCGGAAAAGAAATGAAAGAAATAGAATGCAAAGACAGATCGGAGCAAAGGAAATGKCAATGTCAAGCAGAAAACAACGGTAAAAGACACAAGGTAGAAGCGACAATCRGAAAAGACAGCTGGTTCGAAAGAGGGAACTTGAGTTTAGCGGAAATGGTCCAGATTACGTATTGGTGGACGCGGAATGTATCTCAAACACAAATGCGTCATAAACACMAGTGTAGACTGGTATAACTATTGCAGAGAAATATGCGAAGTGGTATTAATGGAGAGCGAAGAGAAAATCGGTGGACCTGGTAAGACTGTTCAAATCGACGAGAGTAAATTTGGCAAAAGGAAGTACCATCGCGGGCATCACGTAGAAGGACGATAGTAGGAACTGTTTTTAGTGGCTGTTGAAAAAAGAGACGAAGCAACCCTTCTTCCGATCATAAAGGAGCACATTTTCCGGGCACAACAATTGTCTCTGACTGCTGGAAGGCATATGTAAATCTAAAAAAGAACGGCTACATTCACAAAACAGTGAACCACTCAAAAGAGTTTGTTAACGGCGAGGGAGACCACACCAACAGAATTGAAGGACACTGGAGACAGGCGAAGTGCAAATTGACAACTTTTGGAGTTAAAAAGCACTTATTCTCATCATACTTAGCCGAGTTTATATGGAGATATAAACACAGAGATGATGATTTATTTACAGCTTTTTGGAATGACGTCAATAAGGTATATTTAATTGAATGAAGAGCGAACTAAAATAATATGAGTAGTACGGTATTAAGACGTAGATTTAGTTTCCATTTTGTGAAGCGCACTTATGATTTCGTATCGAGATGTTTTTGTAATCGCGCGACAAATATAAATATAAAAACACGTTATGTAGTGAATAGTTACACATTTTATACAATTAGTTATTTGGTTATGAACGTTGTAAAAAATGGATGTATTTCTAAATAGCTTGCATGTAATGTTAGGTTTAAAAACACTGTAAAATAATAGGCATGTATAATAAACAAAACTTTGCGATATATGCATATGGACCGTGGACCGCGGTGACAGTCATTTTGTGTAATGAAATATATGTGTTGGGTTACCTGTGTTGACCGACTTCGGACCGCGGTTACAATCATTTTATATAGKCATTTGTGGTGAGGGGGTATTCTATAATCTAGCCTAAAATTCAATTCAAGAAGAATGYCAGCGAGACTCTTTGATTAATTAATTTCAATTGTTTGGCCGGAAAGGAAAACATTGACCGTAAAGCAGGATATTTAAGTTAAAAAAGGAAGGGAAAAAAAAATTTCAACGCTCCCGAGCTGATTGAACCTGCGATAAGGTCGAAGCCATTTTGGACCCCTGCTGGCAGTCAAACCAATCTCGAGCCCAGAGTCTTTCACGGCTCATGTCAGCGGTTTTTCGTCGCAAATTATGCAAATTAGGTCAGTTTTGTTTTTGCCGCTTTAGA